AAGAACTGATATGGCATAGTAGTTTTTAAATCTTCTTTTTGTCCCAGCAATTCAACGTCTGAAAGTCTTTAAAGATTCTTGTAATTTCCAAAGCTTTGCTTTTGAAATGAGATGCATTTTTCACTTTCCTGTGCTGACAAGTGATTATTACTATGCATCATCAACTGTGATGAAAACACTTTGCTCTGTGTCCTTGGGTTACACTAGTGAGATTTTAGAGGAAAGATGTTCTTGTTAACATTTTTTTTTTTTTTAAGAACACATACAATTCAGTCATACAGTAATGTCAACTCAGAGCAAGCATGATAATGGAGCAACTGTTGCAGGAAAAAACTCAGAGATCTAAATTATCTAGAGAGTCCCTATCCCTGGGATGTCAGACTCTCAGCCTGCTGATTAATTACTCTGGCCTCTATACTACATTATGTTCTAGAGGAACTCTAGCTTTGAATTACGATCAGGTATATTTCTAGCGGTATGCATGTAAATAACATTTTTTGAAAATATTTTGAAGCAGATCTATCTTTTCACACCTACTGATGTGCTATTCAGATACTTCTGAGAATTGTAAACTGTCCCATTCATTTGACTGGATTTAGGTTTGGAAAACATAGACGATGATACCGTTATAATAAGTTTAAGAAGCACAAGTTTAACAACTTTTGGAATATCTTTGTCACTAATCTGTTTCTTGTCATTCTAAAGTATGAGTTATCTTGCTGGTGATTTGAAAGAATTGCTGATGTAAAATAAGAACTGAGAAAGAAACAAGTTTAAATTATTAAAATTAGGTGTTAAATCCTTATGACTAGAGTCATAACTAGTGTAATTCCCTATACAATCATGTTTTTGCAATTTTCTAGAAGTTCTGATCTTATTTATCTCTATCAGTTTAGTTATCATACTTAATGTATTTCCAAAAAGCAAAAATATTTAAAGGATCAGCTTCAAGAAGATTGGAATCTAATGGAGAAATTTGAGATTTTCATCTCTATTTTGTAGCTACTATGGGCATTGATAAACATTTAGTTTATCTCCTATAAATTCTCATAATTATACAAGCAAATTAAGGTCTGCAACTGCACTTTGATTTTTAAAACCAAAAGGCACTACTATTAATACGTAATTTAACCTCCTATGTAAGACTAACCAAGTTTTCATGTACAGTATTCTTTGATTTATCAAATAGTTTTAAATTAAACTAAAGCATTTCTCTTGAGAAAAAAATCAATCTCTATTTAAAGCCCTTAACTGATAGAGAATTTATTACAGTCTTTGGTTATCTGTTCAATAGTTAATTACTCAATCATTTTATTTTAATTTGAATTTCACTAACTTCAATTTTTCAGCATGTAATGTTGGGATTTTTTTCCACTAGATTAGAGATTTCTGCTATCAATGTTTGTCTTCTTACAGGTAATTACAGAACATGATCAAGCTATTTCTTAGGCTTGTCTCTGATAAATTACATTAATTGGACTCCATTTGGTCACTCAACGTAAGTGTGTAGTCAGACCATTCCTTTACGTATCTTTCATGGCTGATCCAAGCAAATATGACACAGTATGATTTCATCAACAGTGAGTGAAAATTAAATGATTGCATATTCAGATATGAGTTCACACGCCTTGTGAGAACTTGTTATGGATTTTAATGGTTAAGTAATAAGTGATATTAAAAAAAAGAACACCAAAAACTATTACTTTTATAAAGGAAGGGATGAGGGATTCTCATCCTGACACAAAAGGCAAACTAAATATTGTGGAGGAAACAAACAACTGATAAAGAATTTGGGTGATAAAAAAATTGGCTTTAAGATTAGGCTGTTTCTGAATGGAGATGTAGGGAGATATCTGAAGATCTTAAGAGCTTTTAAGCAATAGTGGAAAAATCAAGTCCTTCTCAAATATCTTCATCTGCTAAAGTGAAAGAAAAGAATAAATAAAAGGATGTTTGTGCATCTTATCATGTATTAAGGGAGTTAGTTTATTTTAGAGTTTAATTTATAAAAATTTAATAAATTTTAATTATTTATTATTAAATAAAATTTATTTAAAATTTTATTTGAATTTATTTTCAGAAAGGAGCTAAACTAGTGATAAAGTGATTACTATGATATAGAGTGATATAAAAATTAGCTACTTCATAGAAAAGTCCAGTTGTGACATAGGCTATGGTTTCAAAGATCAAAGAACAATTTTGTTACCCTTTGGAATTACTTCTTTGAGAACACAACTATTCTTACCAGAGTTTGAAGTTTACATGAATAACACACATAGATGCTGTTTCTTAATATGAATGTATTTTCTGTCATTTATTGCTCTTCTGCCTCAATGCTGCAACTTATATACCATGCTATCTTTATTACTATTCAAAGTTCATTGATGTAGAAGATAAACGATATTTCAGTTCTGCTAGTAAGATTATTTTCTCTCTTCATGTTTGCAGGTTTGTTTTTTTCAAAATACATTTAAGAGAATCACCTTTATAAATAAAGGTGATTAATCCCTGTCTTAAATACATATTGTAAAATATAAATGTGCCATCTGTTGATTTTGCTAGAGGTATATAAAACAAGGGGATTATTGACTTATACAGCTGTTTTCATCTGTTGTGTAAATCCTCCTCAATTCAGAGATTATTGATTTTAAAGACTCTAACAGCTCTTTTGGGTCCACCGCAGCCTAGTGTGGTGGTGTGGTTACCACATAGGAGAAAAAGTCTACCTGTTAATGATCTTTAAGAAACACTGCTTGGAGGAAAAAGTTACTGAACCTTGCTAAGGAGAAGTTCCTCTCAACAAAGTATCCTTATTATACCTCCAAACATCTATATAATAGAGCATTTGGATTGTTAAGACTGAGAAAAAGTAGGAAAGAAAGGAAGAGAGCTCAAAAGAAAAAAAATCATTTTCTTACAGGGAGGTTTTTTTTTTTATATTTATAAAGTCTTAGAAATCAACTCCACTTTTTTTTTTTTGACCTGAAATTGGAAGCAGTGCTACAAAGGGACCTCAAAAAGCAATAGTTATTGCAATTATCGATCATGATGAACAGCAAAGAAAGTATTTCCAAGCATGGACTGCATTCTGAAATGTAAATTCCTAGTTTGCTGGCAAAATAGATTTTTTTGCTTAAATACTTAGTGCAATCACATAAAAGGAATATAAGGTTATAATAACTAGCATCTAAAAATAGATGCCATTTAAATTAGGCAGCAATTTTATAACACATCTCTGACACCCTTTGGGAAAAGACATAGACGATTGAAATTCTGAAGCAGATTGATAGAGAGGAGAAGTTTCTGATGGACTCCAACTGTTTTACAGGTTGCAATAATTAGGCACTGACTGACACATCAATACACTTCATTCTTTTGGCCATGATGATTTTCAGAGATTATGTATTAATAAAAGTGACACTGATGCTTTCATAAACATATAGCTGTGGACTTCAAACAAATCTTTTTTTCTAGTCAGAGCCTACCCATTTTCCATGTCTCTAGCTCTGGAAACCTTTGCCTAAAGTTCTTGACTTTCTAAGTCATTATCAGACTTTTATTCTGGCTTGCTTCTTTCTTTTCAGGACTTTTTCCTCCTTTCTCTGAGCAGCTGTTAAAAGCCAAATCATACACAGTATTCTAGAGCAAACATGATACATACTTTTATGTTATGAAGAAATCAGGAATTAAAAATAAATTATTTTCCTGGAAAACTCGCTAGATGTTTCTATGACATTCCAATATATATTATTTTATTTCTTTATTTATCTATCTGGCTATTTATAGTTATTTATTTATTTTCATTTTTATGTGTTAGGAGGATTTTTTACTTTAAAAAGAGGAGTTCATGCTTGTTTTCTTTAGCTAACATCTAGTGATTCGAGGCTTTTTTTCGCTTTACGTAAAGCCTACATCAGAGAGGTGTGGCAATGCTTTTTCACTTAGTTTGGGGCATTTGTAATTTAGAGTCTGGCATAAACAAAGCCCTAGGGATGGAGGTTGTCAACACACCAACTGAATACCCCATCTCTTATTTTCTTTTTTGTAATAAATCTGTTATTCTGAACTTTTAATAAAATCCAGCCTTATGTGAATTTCATTTAGCTCCATCAGGTCCTCCTTTAAGTTAAGGTAGTGGTAATGGAAATATGTTTTTAGCATCATGTGGTTTTCAGTATCAATTAACTCAAATTCTTCCCATATTTGTAAAACTTTTATACGTGTGTATATTTTAATTTTATATCTGATGAACCATTATAGTGATACTCCTATTTTTAGATAAAATTATGCTTGTACACTTATTTCTGGCAGAGCGGAATGGAAGAAGGAAATAGGGAGGGTCAATTTCACAATTTTGTCTCTTCCTGATTAAAGAATGTACTGAAGGTGCTGCTTTTCATCCAGAGTCCTGTAGAAACAGATCTGAAATGAAAACATGAAGCTTGGAAATGGATCATGTGAAATGAGTCCTACAATTTTTAGGCTGCACAATAGCAGAATTGTCCCTCAATAATGCCAGGAATACTGCACAAAAAGGACAGCGTTACCCACTGAAATATTCTGGGAGCAGGGGGAAGGGAAAGAAATCCATTAAACGGCAAACTTCTGTGGTTAAAAGAGAAAAGCTTTTTCTTCCAAATTGGGACTGCTAAACTAAGCTCAATTTTGCAGCTAAAATGAAATGGTTTAATCCTACACACATGAAAGGAGAATGCCAACAATTAAGTCAGACTAAAAAGCTTTGTTAGTTAAGGAATGCCTGGCTGGAACTTGCCCTCAAAAGCTTTACAAGGGAAACAGTCATTTATTTAGGCAATCTCTTGACAAAATACAAAAGAAATAAACTGATAATGGATTGGCACTTCAGGGGAACCAAAGGCTTTTATTAGAACTGCTCTGGACCACCCTCCTCCTCCTAAATATCAAACTCCCTGAGACGTAACCTTCCAGTAACCTCACAGTTATGATTCACCAGGACACCCCCATTCTTCTCTTTTCAGGCTCCTGCTCAGACAGCTATTGGCAATGTCAGAACGGCAAGTGTTACAGACCAGAACAAAGCTGTGATTTTGAAGACGACTGTGGGGATAATACAGACGAGAGTGAATGCGGAACTTCCTGCACTTTTGAGAATGGTAGATGTGGCTGGCAAAATTCCCTAGCAGACAATTTTAACTGGGTGCTAGGGGTCAGCTCGCCTCAAAGCCTTAGACCTCCCAGGGACCACACGCTTGGAAATAGAACCGGTATGTTGTCAGTTCACAAACGAGATGTAATGTCTTCATGGAGCTTCTCATACCTCCATTCAGAGGCAACAGGGGGGTTCTAACGTGTCTAATCAGGTTGTCATTTTTAATTAATTAAATGTGTAACAATATTAAAATACTAATTATTGTTGTAAAATGAGTATAAGCTAAAAAAATTTGATTCTCGGTTGTTTCTCCTTCAAGTATAGCTGTACGAATTGAGCAAGATAATTTGTTACTTGTCAGGAGGAAAGCAGTTAGTCTAACTGCAGCTTGCAAGGATGAGTTAGCTCAGTTCTGAGATTCACTGGGTCCTGCTCTTCCAGAGCCTGAGCTCATTTCCAGGAGGCCCCAGCTCATGTTGGAACATGCTGCAATGTTCTGAATGGGAGAAAAAAAAAATTCTGTGCTGGTATACAATATTTTACATAATGGGTATTAATAGTTCTGAGTGGGGACAAACTTATCTAAAACATAGTAAAAATATTGTTACCCAACAATGTAGGTGAAACAGACACAAATAACCACATAGATTATGTGTTCGTATGTTTTAAATTTAGACACAGTCCACCCTGGCTGCATTTCACTGATCTCAAAGTAAGATACAGTACAAGAGAAGTGCTCTCCAATGTGTCCCTGTCTTTCATTTGGCTTGTAAAATTAGCTAGTTCTATTAGAACACAGATTTATGTATCTCTGTGGCATGTACATTGAATCCACCCAACATATCAATAGAATGACTGTTGATCTAATTGCCTAGCCTAGAAATTTACTCTGTAATCTGAAAGTTAAGTAGTTTTGTTGTGGTGAGTGATCAAAGAGGTCAAATTCTCCATTTTTCGCTCAAGAGCTTCTCTGTAGTCTTGAAATTGTGCTTTCAAACAAAGTATTCAGAATTCATTTTACTTTTCACAATTTTAATGTGCTGGAATTTTTTAAGGTGAAGGTAGTATCTGGCCATATTGTTTAGAACTGATAGCACTTAATAACTGTATTCATCATGAGAGAACCAAAACAAAATTCAGCTCAGCTGTAAGAATTTTGTTATATGTGGTATAGAATACTGCAGTATTCAGTGATCGGTCCTTATACAAAGAAAGACATAAAGGAATTTCAGCACTTTCTTCCAAAACCACAGCTCTTGAGCTTGCATCTAGCAACTGTTTAATTACAACTCTCCTGTTAGCATCTCTGGTTTTGACATTAAAATGTTGAAAATTTGCTTATGATTAGAATTATATCATTCCGATTGGAATTAATTGATCTATCCCATTATCTCCTAGGCAAGCTTGACTAGCCATGATCACTCTGCTGTCCCACAATTCTAGTCTCACTCATTCAGACTGAGATGCTTTTCAGAGTGTCCTGTCAGACGTAGAAAAAATAAGTTTTCATTTACATTTTTGATTTTTTTATTTTTATTTTTCAAATTGTCATGAAGATGTCACTACGCTTGTTAAGTATATGCCTGACCTCAGGGAAGAAACAATATTCTCATCCCATAATACTATGGCCAACATCTATGGTTGTAAATAAGCTGGAGAAATGTCAAAGTTAGAATGAATCCATTTTACTCCATCCCTAATGAAGGATTTTTTTTTTCTCTAGTTCATGTACAAACATCAGGAGATGTGCAACTATAAATTGACAGTGTGTTATTTAAAGTACATTTATGTTTACATGAACTACGCATTTGATTTTTGTACAAAGTAAAAAATTGAATTTGAAAACTTGCAGAATTTATTATACTTCTGATTAAAAACTGAAATGGAAAATTCTAGGAGCATATCAGTTTTGGAAAATATTAACTGTAGGCATCTATTTTTACAATTTCTGCTGACTAAATAATTTAAATGTGAGTTAATATTCATATATTAAAGAGTACAGGTGGCCAAAAGTAATACAAATCATTAGGGATAACTAATGATTTATAAACATATTAAGTTTTTTTTGCCAGTTTCACACGTTTTTGTATAGTGTCACTCACTGTGTTGAAGGTTATTTATCAGAAAACTTCCTCCTGAAATTTATCATGATGTAGCTATTGTATGATGTATTGTCAAAATGGCAACTAATGACGTTGGACAAGGACATGTAATCAGAGTAGCTGGGAAACATGGAAATAGTCTCTCTCTGCTACACAGGTCCATCCAAATCATAAGCTGTTCTCAGTTTATTTCTGACATAACAAGTACACAAGGAATGTGATGTGATCACATTACCCCAAGCAGAGATTCTCTAGCATAAGACATAGATGGGACATATACTTCATGTGTCTCTGCATTCACTTTGCTGAGCTTTGGAATCTAATTTGAAAGTCCACAACAATTTTTCAGTTATACATTATTTAATTTCAGGACAATTTCTGTATCTTGAGGCCACTGCAATAAGCTTAAAAAATGAAAAAGCCCATGTGAAGAGTTCCAGATGGAAAGAATCAAGCGGGACTTGTGTGATGAGCTTCTGGTACTTTCAGCCATCAAAAAACATGGGACGTATTCAGGTTCTGATTAAGGTAATAAAAAACATTTTTATTTTGAATATCTGATATCTGTAAGGGTGTATGTGCTCCAGCAGCGTGCTTCGGCGCTCTGATATTCTGTTGTTTGGCTTGTAGACTGGAAGAGCTCCTAGTTCAGGACTAGTTTTTATTCTAGTCTCTTAAAAATGCTTTTACCATTTGTTTTCCAAAGGAAGTTTCTCTGAAAAGCCGCAGAAAATCTTTTTGAAGATTTAAAACCTCTATCTATTTCCCTCTTCACATACAGTACTTTTCTCTTTGTTGTTACCTATTTGAGAGCTATTTGCATATTTTGCTGCCATCCCTATTGGTAGTTTTCAGTACGCAACCCTATCATTCTGATAGAATGACATCCACCAAAAAACTGAATTAACAACCTGCACAAAGTGGAAATAATATGCAAAAATATGACTGTATTGAATTATATACAGACAGGTACAGAATATACAATCAATTTTCTTTAGAAATGACATTTTCTTCATTAAATATGGAATGACTAAAAATAATGAAAGAAAATAAAAAAAAACATATAAAGTTGTTCAGTTACAAGAGAAAACTGATATTTTCCTAGAAAATTGTCTGTTAAGATTGTTGTTTGTTAAAAGAAAAAGCCTTAAATTCTTGTAAAAGCAAGATTTAAACCATAATATGATTCTGAATAATATGTAGAAATTAACAATTAATGCAGGAAAACCATATATTTCACCTCCCTATGCATGCTGTGCATTTTAATTCCATTGGGTATTTTAATGATGTTTCCTCACAATGACCAAATATATCACTTTTAGATGCAGAAGAAACCTTTGCAAGTGAGAGTTTGTGTATTTGTGCTTACTTGTATCTGTGCAGGGAGTTCTGGCTATTCAAGTACAAACCATGGTACAATTTATTTTCCACATGTCTGTTACCATATCTTTCTTCAATATCGTTAATAAAATCTTAGGATAGAAATTATTTTAGTGAAGTGCATTAAAATTTCTTTTTTATTTCCAATACATATGTTGACTGCCTGAACTTATAATGATAAATTATTTTTTGTCTTTGAAAAAAAATTGTTAAAAATTGTTTCTCAAATATTCTGGATAGTGCAAGAATAATTCAAAAGCCCAGAAGACAAAATACTTCCATGGTCTTCAACATCTAAAGACACAACCCAGACTAAGTCTGTCTGAAATACAAAAGTGATGAGCCCTTTGACAGCCATTAGGAGATTTTTTCATGGATTAGTCCAAACACCTACAAATAACAATAAGCCACACATCAAGTAGCTATATACATAATAAGATATATTTATGCAGCTTTTTTTCCTAGAAAAGCTCAAACCCATAAAGGAGGCAAGTAAATTAAAAATAAATACATTCATTGTTTGAAAATAACATTTCTTTTGTAATGTATTCAAAAATGAAAACAAAAATCAATCCCATTACTGACAATGAATAAGTTGCAAAAATAAACATTTTAGTCAAAGTTCACAGAAGACTTTTAAAGATCCTTTCTAACCAGTATTCTATGATTCTATGATGATGTTCTCATCATGTTAGTCACAAGTGTACTTTGTAGCACCCATATATTGTAATTATGAATATCTTAGGATTGCTTAACGTTAATTGTAAAATATCTTGTAAACTAAGTTTGGTGGGAAATAAAGAGCAATTGCATTACCTATGTGTAAGTAGTTTCCACTTCAGTTATCACTGTTGATTGCGTACAGTAGTTATCATATTAAGTATGCAGCATATATCACAGCATGGACAGTTGCCTTAAAAACAGACAAAAAATTTTATCTCATTTTATTATATGCAGTGAAATTAATAACACACATGCTAATACGTCTGTTAAACAGGAGACAAAACAAGTAAAATGAAATAAAATCAAACAAACCACACCACCTAAACTGAGTTAAAAAAGAGACACTTATTCTCTGTTGGGGTATTTTGTCTGAAAGGCTCAAGTGCAGTTGTCAAAATTTTTAATTATTTTTTCTACTCTCAGGATGGACAAAGAGATTTAAGGGTTTTTCTGATTTTGTACAAAATCCACCTGAGCAGAGTTTTACTAGATAGTTATCTCTGTTGATAAGAGACTGTAGAGATTCTTTTCTACTGTACTTTTTAATGTTTGTGTGAAATCTAATGTTCATATATGTGACTATTATGGAATTTTCTAGATCATAATCCGTGACATTTCCTTTCTCAAAGTTTTGGGAATATTCTTCATATTTTCTCTTTCTTTTATTCTTATTATAATGAGACATTGCCCCCTTCTTATTTTCACCTAATTTTATTATCCTTATAAACTTTTTGGAAATTATTTTTATGTTATTTTAAATCTTTGTCTCCAGTGAACTTAGAGATTTTTAAAGACAATTTAAATAGAAGACATTTGAGTAATGACTTTTTTTTTTTTACTGAAGGCAAGAATTCCACATGGAAGTAGGAAAAATTATTCTCATTATTGTATTCAGGATTGTTTTGTAGATCACCCTAGTTTACCTATTATATTGCTTATAAGGATTCATAAATCAATGCTATTATCAGAGTTTCTATTTAACAGCATCTGTATGAATAATATCTAATTAACCAACACATAGTCATGGGAAGTCATACTGAAGCTCCTCCTGCTAGCTGAAACTGCAGTACTGATATATTTCCATTCAGTTTGAATATCTCTTAATTTAAATTTAATTTAATGTTGGTGACAGCACATCAGTAGATTGAGACTAGCTGAAAATACAAGGCGGAAGAGATGACCTGGGAAGGAATTTACCATCTCGTTTGACAGCTTAGCAAACTGTCTCTATGTAAGTCATCACTTCCATTAAAAGCTGAACTGAGAGTGAACACTGTACACACCACTGGCACAGTAATGAACGATATGATGAAGTAATATCATATGGAGGCAGAATAAGGAAGGCATTTCTTCTCCTGAATACGTGGAAGAAAAATGGTAATCAAGAGTAAACCACCATTTTTAAAAGAATAGTAGTTCATGGTATCAATTGATGTCTTCTCTTAATATTCACATTACTTGTCCACATCCAGGAAATTTAAGAATGTTATACTACTAAATATAATATATATTATATTATA